TTCTAAAAACAACAACAAACTAAGCAACTACTACAAACTGAGATGTTTTCCTCCTTTTATAAGATTTTAAAATCACGCGCTAGAATTTTCCAGTACTTTCTCGAAATCAAAAAGAGATATTTATTTATTTAATGCACGCGCTCTTGTATTTTCAATCTTCCGGCTTAGCTTTCTTTTAATATTCGTCACGCGCTGCACTGCGCGAGAAATAAAACCATGTAATTTATAATTGAACTAACATTAGCTTTTTAAATACCAAATTCGTAACAATATTATGTATGTGTCTTATCATTAAAAACAGTATTTAGAGAAGTTATTAAGATTCATTATTTTTATTATAAACCTTTGTTTTTCTATTGCTTATAATTTCTGCAAAGTGGTAAAGTAATATGGTAAAAAGATTGTTTTATTTATCTTCAGCTAAGTATATGATTTTAAATTTAGCTATTTTGATCATTTTACCATTTTCCTCTATACTACTTTACCACTTGAAGAAATATATACAAGTTTACTTCCTCTTCCAGATTTATTTCCGCAAATTTCTAGAATAATAAGTACCAAAAAATGGCAACTTTTTCTCTCAAGCGTGCTTTTCAATAATTATATTCAATTTATCAATAGCATCTTTAAACAAATACAGGGAATTTCAATGGGAATTAATCTTTCAAGTTCTGTCTGTGAATTATTCCTTTTTACAAAAGAATTGACCTTTGTCCCTTCACTCAGTAAAGAAAAACATAAATTTTACCAACACATCTATCGATATATTGATGATGTCATTACCTTTAACAACTACAACAAAATAGAAGTTGCTAATATCTACCCTACATGCTTAAAACTAAATAATACAGATACGGTGCAACATAATGTAGTTTACCTTGATTTACATATTATTGATTACAATTTAATAAAAGTTTACAACAAAAGAAGAAAATTCAATTTTTCAACACTAAAATTAACCAACTGGAATTCAGATATTTCCAAAAGAGTCATCCTCAACACAATCTGTTCACAGATACTTAGAATAAAAAGAATCTGCAATACAACTTTAAGAAGAAATACTACACTTCGTGACAATTTTGAAAAATAACCTAATTCCTCAAAAAATAATTAAAAATACCTTAAAAAAAGGCTGGCATTAGCCTTACCAATTTTTAGATTTTTCGAGTTAGATAATGATACTTTATACTTAAAGCCCAATGGGACAGTATAACGTGGATGGCTGATTCTGAGAATCTAATGTAAAAATGTACAGATAATTCTTGTCACTACATTTTCTTTCCTCCAAAAAATTTTGGCACAATACTTTTAATACTATTGTTTAAATAGTTTTAAATTACTTTGATGGCCAATTCTACTCCTGTTATTAACAAATCGGGCCTTTTCGTTTTTCATTGAAGCTTGAAGAATTAAGACTTTTATTAACAAATGACTGTTTTTTACATTTTACTCTTACTTTTGTGGCCAAGTTAAGTAATTTTAGCTGAATTAGCCATTTTCACTTTTTGAAGCAGTTATTTTTCTTCAAACAACTTGACTGACGCCATTTTGAAATCTTTCCACGTCTTTTGACCTCCCCCCCTTTAGTTCTAGGGGCGAGTTCCCGCCAACAGACAGTCTTATCACATTGGCTATTGCCAAGTGACTATGTTTCCCCCTTCTTTCATCACACGGCAAGTGGGAGAGTGTTGAAGAACACAGAGGGGAATTACAACCCCTTTCCGTTTATGCTTCATGATAGAGAAGACTGCATAGCCACAGGTCTGTTTTTTGATGTTTCTTTTACAAAATTTTTTTTTCTTGGTCTTAGCAAGACCCACTTTGTTTGTTTTCATTTAAATTTAATTTCAGATTTCTAAAATTTATAAAAATTTAATTCTTTAAGCTTGCAGGTCCAGCCCATACGTTATTGTATATTTTGACTAATAGCAGACCGCTATGTATTTTTATTTTTATTATTAATGTACATTGGAGTTGCATTTACATTTTTACACCTTAATGTGTCATTTTGTGCAGACGTGTCGGGAAATTGGAACAGAGATTTGAGACTACAAAATTTTTTAGGACAATTTATCTAATTAATTAAAAAAATTCGCAACACAAAAGTTTCAATTGTCTGTTTCGGTGAAACGCGTAATGGAGTTAGCTTAGTTCGACGTTTAACCAGAAATTTCCCTTGAAAAGCCAGGTTGGACCTCGAATTGAGTTAATTTACCATTTTCCGCTTCATAATTTTTGTTTTAATTTGTTCCATCGATTGTTTTTTTTATATGTTTTAACTTGTCACATCGATATGTATTTTACTGTAATTGTTGCCATTAACTTGTATCCAACGATTAGTATTTTACTGTGTTTTATATTTTACATTTTATTTCGCGTGTAGCCTAATTTTTCACCTTTCAATGTCATTGTTTTTTTTTAAAAAACTGTGTTAAAATTTTTCTTGGAGCCACAGCTCCTAGTAACTTTATGGCGAGCTAACTACAATTTCTTTTCTCATTTCCTTAATTTTGCAGCATATTGCGCAAAAATGTTTTTGACCAAATTGGTCTTTTTGTATTGTACTTACAACCTAGCTCATTAATTATGTATTATATAATATATACAGTCAAAAGTCGTTTATCCGGACTCGTCGGGACTTCGGCGATTCCGGATTATAGATCATCAGTTTAAATCTGGTAAATGACAGTAGAAATTATAAAATTAAAAATATGAAACAGTTTAATTATGAATAAAGAACAAATTATTTCTAAAAGTATCAAAATTTACAAAAAAAAAAAAAAAAAAAAAAAAAAAAAAAAAAAAAAATTATTTGTTTAGTTTATTAAACATTTCTTTTATGTAGTTTTTAAGTTGCTTCGTTTTTTATGTGATAATACTTTCTCTTTAATTCTATAAGCAGACATAATTTCTTGTTCAGTTATAAAGTTCCGCTGTTCAAGTCCTATAATTGCCGTGTCGAGAATACCAACTAATTTGTCAATCGAAATTTTTTTGTTTTCAATAAACTCTGTATCACTTTCTTCGCTATCGGAAGCGAATTATAATGAGGAGGAAATTGATTTAAATCATATCAAAGACTGAGTACATCGAGATGAAATACTACATTTAGTAAGGAATTATAAGCCAAATAAAATAAAAACATCTGCCCTAAAGATAAGGATAGTGCTGACAGATCAACTTCCAGTTGATTGCGCGCCGCAATGTTTCCCCTACCCCCCACACGCAGAGCAGTGTGAAATTGATAAACAGATTTCAGAATGGTTAGATAAACAAAGGATATGCCTTTATCCATTTTTTGCAGCAATTCCACTTTTTGTTTAATGGACATCGAAACATACTTTCACTTTGTAGATCCTTTACATATTAGTAAATATATATCAGAAATTCTATTTTACATAATCGAAAGTTCAAGCTTACTTTTATAAAATTGCTCTAACAGTCTGCAAAAAATAATAAGCCGAATCCAATTCGAAGATTAAGGAACTACGCAATCTACAACATTAACTGAATTAGATAATTTTAGCTTAGCTTGTACCGTCTGTTATACATTAAACACGCATTTGTAAACTTATTTTCCGCATGCGCACACGCATATTCGCAGCCGTAAAGGTCTTACGTGCATGTGTCAACGCGACTCATGCGCAGAAAGTTTGTAGCTTTGAGGTCCAGATTATTGGTGTCCGAATTAACGACTTTTGACTGTATAAGAATGTATATAATATATGTAAAATAAAATATATGTAAATTGAAATTCTAATTTTAATTTGCACTAGTCCCTTAACTACATTTTTTTTAATTTGGGTATTTTCCTTTGTGTCCTAAAAGTAGTTGCTGCTTATAATAAATCTTTCTAAACTGCATCGTTTTGAAATTAATGCATGTCATATGATTCTTGCATCACATTAGAGATGCAGACACTTACAAAACTGCTTTAGCGAAGAACTGAATTCTGCACAATTGAAACCGAAATTTTTATATGAATAACCAGTAGGAAAATTGAAACAGAAGATGTATAGAGGGCTTATGTGGCAAAAGTCAAATTTTATAGAAGTAGCAAAAAATGGTCCCATTCCTCACAAGAATGTCAGAAATCACTTGAAAAATGTTGAATTACATAGATCTTAATTACTTCGATCTCGCAATTTTTTTGTTGCTAACTACTGAGATTTTTGTTAGGAATGGAGCAGTTTGGTTTTCTGCCCCCCCCCCCCCGCAATAAATTTGACTTTTGTCAAATAGCTGCCCAGACAGAATATTGGTTAGGGAAGCCAACTGCGATGCTGAAAGGCTTGTATTCGAATCCCGTGGAAGGCAGGGTGGTAACTGTCCACCCCTTCACAGGAGGCAATGTGAAACTCAATTCACTCTGAAACCAGCTTTCATCTGAACACAGTGAATTCATGTTTTTATTAGCTGTCTTCTTGCCATTTATTCTTTTTTTCTCATGAATCGTATCATTCATAAGATGCAGAAAAGATACAAATGTGATCAAGTATGTGCATGCAAATTGTAACCGCTTCATCTGTGTTGTCTAATATTGTATGTCAATGATAATAAAAAAATATTAAAATTGGCTACATATATATACATCACATTCTTTTTATATATGTTTCATTAAAATTTTTTTTAAATAATTATCTTCTCTTTCAAATATTAATCTAATTTTTGATATTTACATGTTATTTTTCATTTGATGTTCAGAACAGAAATGCAAAAAAAATTGTAGATTTCAAAATTGATTTTTTTTATAGATTTAATTTTATTGTTAAAGTTTAATTTAAAAGTGTAGCAATTAAATTTTGTCACTTGGCTGTAATAAGTTATTATTTTTATTTATTTAATGATGGAATTCTTTCTAAGGTGTTAGACTGTTTTCAGAATGAGAGTTTTATTAGTATTAATGGCATTTATTACTGAGTTTAAAGTTGGTTTTATATCATGTATGAACTTTTTCTACATAATTTAAGTGATTTACTTTAAATTATTTTTTCTTCTAGTGGATTTTGAAAAAACCTGGTATTTTTGCTTTCATGGGTTGCATAGGTAAAGATAAATTTGGAGAAATTTTGGAATCTAAAGCTAAAGATGCAGGTGTTCTTGTATCTTACCAGTATCATGATACACTACCTACAGGTACATGTGCTGTTGTAATTACTGATCAAGGAGCTAATAGGTAAGTTATTAAGAATTCTGTTTGAGAAGACTTAATCATGATCAAATACACAGGTCTTAAAATTTGATTATAATTAGGGTACAAGGAAGTAAAAATTCAGTTAATCCTTTCCTAATTAAAAGTAAAGGAAATATTGTAATAAAAGTAAAGGAAATAAATTGTTAATAAAAGTAAAGGAAATATTTCCTTGAAGTAAAGGAAATATTGTAATCGTGAAAAATTTCGCATATCATATTTCAACGAAAATATCCCTTTTGAATCCATTTGAATTATTATTATTATTATTAATTTTTTTTTTTTTTTTTTGCGTGGCATCTTTACATATGGACATAATAGACTCTCTCTCTCTCTTTTTTTTTTTTTTTTTTTACCAAAACAAATTTTAAATTGGATTCAGAAGAGGTTTTATCATTATGTCTGTACATATGTATGTATCTCGAATAACTTAAACACGAGTAGCCATGGAATAGTAGCTGTTGTATATAGGACTACTATAAAATAAAGTTGAACACATTCCTTTTTTTTCTTTTTTTTGTATTTTTTAACTGTATTTTGAGTTTTAGGTTTTCCTACATTTTACAATTTTTAATGAAGATGTTTTGAGTTTTATGTATTTTTATCTTGCCATGAAATGAGAACTGAATTGATTGAACTAAAAATATATCATTAATGAAATTCAAAGAAATGAGTTGATATGCAGTGGATAAAAAGGAAGTGCAGTAAAAAGTGTGTCTAATTTAATAGAGCATACAAGGAAATCTGGTGTCCTCATAGGATATTTTTATTTGTGTGTATGTTTAGGAATTAGATGAGTGCAAATAAAGGCTGGCAAACAAAAATGTAAAAGTATATAATTTCCGTAAAAATTTATTTGAAATTTAAGGTTAAAAATAGCTGTGGCGATTCACTGTAACAAAAATCCATAAACCACATTTGGCGTTATTATCGCTCAAAAAAAGATGCCAAATTTCAATAAGCGGAAATATGTAAATTCATGTCTATCTTCGAGAATTTTGAATAAAAAATTCTAATTTTTTGCAGATATGCTTAAAACTACACCTACTTTAAGCTGATGGTAAAAATTTTATAGGTTATAATTCAAATTGTTTTTCGAAAAATTTATAAAATTATTTAAAATAGAAAATTTAAAAAAAATAAACACAAAAAATGGCTGAATTTATGGAATGAACCTAAGTTTCGAAATGTGAAAGGAAACATAAAGAAAGGTACTATTCGGTTTCGAGGGCCATAAAAAATCGCCAAACTATTGTTGATGCCAATGCTGCCAAAAATAATTGCGGCAAGGAAGGAAGTATAATAGTAAATAAAGATTGATGTGTTAATTTAGATGAAAGGTTAATTTCATATAATACTTTTTTATTATTATAATTTATATGAAAAAGGCTAAACATGACTGAATGGAAGTATAAGAGTAAATAACTATTTCAGATCATTATTATAATTTATATAAAAATTGCTAAACATAACTGAATGGATGCCTGCATCGCTATTTCGCTGCCGACTTATCGCTGAAGCATAATTTCATCTCGTTGGTTGTTCAAATGGAATTTTCTATAATGAAGAATGCCTTTTCTTTGAAAATATTCTCGGTAAAGTGCAGAACCGCTCACTTATTTGTTTGCTGCTTTTTTAAAAGGGTAATGGATTTTTTTTTTCAATTTTCTTTTACTTTTTAAGTGAAAATAGGTCAATGTGTACATAGAAAAGTCAAGGGTGTGCGCAGTGCCATTTTTGTGCAATTTTAGTTTTCTTTTTAAGTGAAAATAGGTCGATGTGCACATGGATACCGAGTATGTGCAATTCTTAAAAACGCGTCAAGCAGTAGGTGATTCTGCACATTACCCAAAATTCTATTGCCGACTTTTCATCATGGGAAATTCCCAATTTGTTAAATCCATAGGATATCAAAAAAGGATTTAAAATCAAAAAAGGATTTAAAAATTAAACTAGTATCAGCACGTACGCTAGATTTGGCATGCTGTCAAATGGGCGTTTTTGCACGTACATTTCCGCTGCAATTTTTTTACGGCCCTCGAAACCGAATGGTACCTTAAAAAATTTAATAAAAAAAGAGATATTACTATATGTATGCTAAATGCAGTTAACATTGTGGAGCTAAAATTTTGAGAGCTAATTTTTAAAAACTGCTCATACGATTTGTACAAAACTTGGCAGTCTTGCATAATTTGAGTCGTAGAATCGAAATATGTAAAAAAACTGGTGTATTATTTCAGAAAAAGTCCGATTTTTGTATCAAAATACCTATATTAGAGTAGTGCTCTATATAAATCTAATATATATTCTAAGTCGCGCTTTCGAGACATGAAAAACACAATTTGAATTTTGTTAGTCGGCCCAGTAAAATGGGAGTCCCCCTTCTCTTTTTTTTTTTTTTTTTTCACACTGTACATACAAATCAGTATTATCCCTGAAGACTTCTTTATTATCTAATTGGAAGAGAAGCATCCCAATGTGAAATTTAAAGGGTGTATGGTGTATTTAATTATGGCAAAGCACACTAGGGCTATCTGCCTAAGGGGAGGGATGCCTTCGCGGAGGACTGTCTAAGGGAAACTGGCTCGTATACACGTTACACATGGGGAAAACCACGAAAACACCCATGCAGCCAGCCCGTTCGCGGGATTTGAACCTCGGATCGAACTACCAGTGTTCAGGGACTTTACCGCTCGGCCGCTGGTGGGCCTAAATTTAAAGGGAAAAAAAATTAATTGGCGAAGGTCTTGTATAAAACTTGTGTAAACTTCAAGGGCAACCTATTTTCTGGGGGATTCTTCAAGAGACTGCACTCAAAAGTGATAAAAGTTTTATTAAAAATTTGTGCTAAACTGAAATCGCCTTTTTTTTAACCTAACTATAAATTCTTTATCAATATTTTTTTCAGCCATTGTATATGCTTTTTATAGCATTTTTAAGTATCTTCTATTTATTATCAATTTTTAAATCTTCACTTAAAAGAATAGAGCACAAGTGGTACCCTCCGCATATTTAAAAAATTTGATGTTTTTGCAGTCCTTGTATGAAATTCCGAGAAGAATTTATAACTTTTTTTATCAGTGGGATTTAATATATACAGTAGAAGTCCAGAAATCCGCAAAGCTTGGGACCAGAGGTCGTGCGGATTTTAGGATTTTGCGGATTTCAGGACAGAAAAGATAAATCATAATATTCAGACTCAAAGTGCAAAATAAAAAAGGCATATTAGATATATTTAATTAAATTATTATATACATTATTGCAATAATTTATTTTATGTGTTAAATTATTATTACATATATAAATTGATTATATTATTCATTGTATTATATGTTACACAGCATCCAGGTTTGCCGATTTCGCCTTATGCAAAGATTTCCGGTTTTGGATTCAGGGGGTAGAACCACTGTTGCTGTAAAATTTCAACAGCTTTTCTTTATTTTTCCGTATTCCGTATATTTCACAATTGTGTCACAATTCCATACGATTCTGCTATAAACCGAGGAGTGGAACCTGCCTCCATCTTTTTCAGAATTTGCACGTTTTGCAATGCAACGTGTTTACGGTTTTCAACGTTGCAAGCAGTAAAATCATGAGTGCATTTCTTATCTGTCATTGTATTAAAAAGGGCTGAAATTTAAAATATTCTTAATTTATCCACAAAATATCCGGATTAAAAAAAAGGCAGCACTAAATAATCTTGTGAAATAACAAAGCTCGGAAAATACAACAACGTGAATCGTGAACTTGGAAGAATTGAGTAAATCGTCTGCTTTTATACCTCTATGCAGATTAGAAGGAAAAAAAACCTTTTATCCTGATGCCAATAATTTGGTATTTCTGTTATGACTCATTATTATTCGGTAATTATGATGTCATTATTCGGTAAGTATTTTTTTCTTCGATATTTCGTACTCAATGTTGTGGTTTCCGAAACCTATAAAATTAATGTATATTTTGAGAGGCAACGTGGATTTTCAGGTATTTGACTGTATTATCAAAATAAGAGATTTTAGTGGCTTGCTGTAAATCAATGAAGGGTGATGTCTGCCTGATATGGTGATGTCTGCTGAAGCTGATGTAATTAGTTATTTGAATCCCAATTTGTCTTCTCAAACAAAGTCAAACTATGGAACTGTTTATTGCATATCCTATTTAATATAGCCGAAACCTGTTTATGCTTTTTGATAAGTAGGAATATGTTTTATCTAATAACATATTTAGCACTAAAGGATATGGACATATGCCAGGAAAAGAAAATATAAAATCATTCATTATTAATCACTGCTGGTGTTTGAATCATTTTTTGACTTGAAAATTATCCAGAAACTTTTTTATAAAATTTTTACTGCCTATGAAAGGACTCCATACTTGTCCTCCTTTACATGCAGACCATTCTTCTATAACATTTTCAAGCTAAATTTGACATTCGCATCATTTTTAATTTCATATTGCTGTGCTTGTTTCCCATATAAATTACATTGTTCTTATGCTTAAAATTCAGTTGTATACATTTTCATTAATTGAAAAAATAATGCTTATTTTTCTCTTTCTTTTTAGGTCTTTATGTGCTAATTTATCTGCTGCCAATTGCTTTAGTAAAGATCATCTAGAAAGTGCAGCTAACCAAGCTATAATCCAAAATGCAAAATATTTTTATATTACTGTAAGTATTTTTAATTTTAGCTATCCATAGCATTTCATATAATAAGGAACTTAAATAGTTTTGAATATATATATATATATATACACTGGTTATCATAAATTAAGGAAAAATCACAAAAATAGTGATAACTCCCTCAAAAATAAGAGCTGAGTAAAACTCCAATATGCAAATTAGTGGCGTTGCTTTCGGAATAAGTCATCTGCGAGGAGCATAAAAGTCCATGTTTGAGAGCAAGCCCACATATTTCACTGTGACAGTGACATCAGAAATTTGAGATAGCCTTTTTGTAACAATGACCTCCAGGCATCATTTGCCTGCAGAACTACGAAGGAGAGCCATTGGGAGACTAGAGGCAGGACAAAGTCAAACAGAAGTGGCCAGATGGCTAAATGCGAGTCTTTCTCGCATTTAGCCATCTGGCCACTTCTGTGGTTCATTCGCTTTCTGTGGTTCATAGACTTTGGAGGCAATTTCAAATCATAGGTTCAGCACCTAGGAGGTTCAGCCAAGGATGGCCAACCTCTACGACGAGCGCTGATGACCGATATTTGACATTATGTGCACTCAGGAATAGAACCGCTACTCCGACTCTTTTTAGATACTCCCTTGCTGCAGCCACCGGGAGGTTGGAGTCAGCTTCAACTGTGCGTAGAAGGCTTCATGAAGGTGGTCTGTATGTGAGAGGAACAACCATTTGCGTGCCGCTCAAGTCACGCCATAGGAGGGACCGTTTGCAGTGGGCAACATGTCCACTGGACTCCTGAGCAATGGAGGGCTATTCTCTTTACAAATGAATCCAGGTTTAGTCTAGAAAGCGATAATAAGCGTTATTTGATATGGAGAGAACCTGGAACCCATTATCATCTGTCAAACATCCAGGAAAGAGATGCATACGGAAGAGGCAGAGTCTGTGTTTGGGGTAGCATCTCTTTGGGTGGACGCACAGACCTCCATGTTTTTCCAAGGGGAATCGTGAATGCTCATGTTTATAGAGTTGACATCCTTGATGCTTATGTGCGCCCATATGCCGGGGCAATATGTGATGCTTTCCTGTTACAGGACGACAACACAAGACCACACAGAGCTCGCATCGTAGATGATTATCTTCAACAGGAAACAATTATGCACATGGAGTGGCCAGCTCCATCCCCGGACTTGAATCCTATCGAGCACGTTTGGGATGCTTTAGGGAGATGTCTAGCTGCTCTCAATCTGCCCCCTTAGAACCTCTCCACGCTTGCAACTGCTTTGCAAGAACGATGGCTCTCGCTTCCTATGGAACTGATAGACCGCATAATTGAAAGCATCACACATTGCTGAATGTGCTGTATTGCTTCTAGAGGCAATTGATTATATTCCATATTGAAGGTACTTTTACTATAGCAAACTGACATCTTCGATTTGTTTATTTTATTCATGTGCTAATTTCTATACTACCATAATTGTCTGGTAATTTCTTTTTATGTTATTTGATGCCTTACTATGTGTTGTATATTGTGGGTAAATTTCAAAAAATTCTACATGTAACTTTTTCAGTAATCGGGGTTTTGGGGATTTTTCTTTAATTTATGATAACTAGTGTTTATTCAGAGTAAAATTCTAATTTTAATTTGTAAGATCCTCCTTAGTCTCCTTTTTAATTTTGTTATTTCCCCTTTCTATCCTAAAATTTGTAATGTAATAAATATTTCTGAAATCCATCATTTCGCAGTTAATCTCTGTTGTCTAATTCTTATGTTGCATACAGGATCATTATGAACTGAATGCACACAGAACCGATGATAGATTGATAAAATTTATTTTCCCAAAAGAAACATTTTTTAGTTCTGGAACTTTGCACAAAAGCACACATACAGCTTTTCTCAGTATCACAGAGTGCAATCACTATTACACTTCAAACTACTAAGAATGCTAAATACAATGCACTTCAAAGTGCATCTAAAAGCGAATATTGCATGACGATGTCGGTACTCCGAAATCAGATCTGAACTAAAAACTGAAACTAATGCTCTCTCCAGTTTTATATAGTTTTCCCCCATCCAACTAGAAATCTCCAGTACCTTCCATTTTTCAAAATTACTGAAAGTTATATATGGTTATAGTTGCGTATAACTACCAAATACATTTATAGATAGGGATCAATTACAGGTATTCTGTTACAGTACCAATTACAGTTATGAAGAAACTGGACAAAAATGTTGCTAAGTTTGGCCACTTTTAACAGCAAAAATTAGTCACCAAAACCATAGCCACTTTGGCGATATCTCGCCAATTTAGCAAGATAGTCATTTACCTTAATGTTAAATAAACTTGCCCCTGTAATCTTATTTTTTCAGAAAACTTCATCTCTTAAGTCTTTATATGTTACAAAAGGTATTGCAATTTAAAATATAACTTCACTAAAAAATTTTTACATATCTACAAAAATTTGTAACAGTATATTTGCTATAATTAAAATTGATTTACTATAAATACATTTATATAGTTTATGTAGGAAATTATTCATATAATAGCTATTATTTTTCCATTTTTGTATCTCTGCTAAAGAAAGAGAAATCCCATTTTAAGACCGCTATGTGTTGTACTTCAAAGAACTGGCTGGGAACTCTTCTCATCACTTGTTCAGCTTGTAGAGTTCATTTTAATTTTCTAACTGTTATTTTAAGTTAAATGACCTTCCTATCAAGCTTCATTTCATTTCTCTGCCAGAACGCAAATTTCCAGCACACAAGATACTCAAATTAGGTAGAAAGAAGGAGGTACTTAAGGGAAGGTTTTTGGAAGGTGAAATAAAAGCATGTTCTGCTTGCTTGAAGGCCACATTATTAACTCTGATTCTCTAGCAAATAGAATTCAGTGGCATTGAGGTTTTCTTACTGTTAGGATTGTTTACACAAACTTTGATCAGAACCAGCTTATGTTATAGTTAAACTGTGAAGCCATTAGGCTATACTTCTTTTTATTTAAGTCAAAAGTCTGCAAGCATGAGTTGATGATGACTGTTTTGATTAATAAAAGGTTCCTTATACCCTTCTTCTGATTTTCCCATACTTTAAAAAAGATTTAGAGATAATTCACTCAACAGTCTTTCACATACATTTTATGTTAAGAAGGAATGCATGATGCTGCAAGCTGATGCAAGAATTGGCGAATGGTGTCAATTATTCAGTGAAAGCTGTTAGATACCTATGTGTCTGGAATTATATCCTTGAAGCCAAATAAGCGAGTATGGGAAAGAGTTAGGAGAACATATGGAACATACAAAGACCACTCACTTTCCACTGTGGAAAAAGATGGCTGAGTGATCCACCCTAAAGAAGAAACTGTGAATACTGTTGATAAGATATTTCCCACTATTTCTTTCTGTCAATCTGTGCTCCAAAATTTTTCCATTGTGTTCAACTCCTCTAACTTTATTATGGGGATTTTTCCATGCTTGAACTAAAGAGAATTTTGTTGCAGATACACAAGCTCAAGTCCAGATCATATAAGTCATGATGTGCTTCCGTGTCACTTCTATTCAGTCACTGACTGCTTTTTGCTGTCTGTTCGACTGAGTGTGGAAGGAAAAAAATTTTCCAAGTGCATGAAAAGAAGCTCTTATCATTGGTATTATAAAACAAGGAAAAGACCTGAAAAATCTCTCATCTATCATCCCATAGCATTTGCAAATTATTTAAAAAAACGGTAAGTCATCATCTGGTCTTTAAGTGGCTACCAGAGGCCAAGCAGTAAAGTCGCTGAAGCTAGCAGTTCAGTCTGAGGTTCGAATCTCCATGAACAGACTGGCTGTATGGGTGTCTTCGTCATTTTCTCCATGTGTGTAATGTAATGTGTTTACAAGCCAGTTTCCCTAAGAAATTCCCCTTAGGCAGATGGCCCTTAACTGCTTTTCCATAATTAAGTGAACTGAACCATCAATTGTCTTAGTTGCCATCTAGAAAAGAGTAATGTAATCTTCCCATATCAGAGTGGTTTTCCATTTTTTAATTAAAAATAAGATCTTGCTTCTTTTTAGGAACTTTATCAACACTCAAAGGCCATCCATTTTGCCAATATTCTCTTACTACAATCTCTGTCATATCCATGTTTTCATTTGTGTGTGTATCAAATAAAAGAACATGACAGTAAATCTGCAATATACATATATTTCCCAGGCAAATATTTCAGTTTTTAACATTTTAACAGCTTAATTTTTATCCTTTGCAATATATTTGACAACACATTAGCAATATTTTTGTTCAGAAATTGAAACTAATGCTTTATGATCAGTAAGCACTTCTACATCTCTACCATAAATGTAATAGTGAAATTTATTAACAGCGAATAAAATACTAAGAAATTCTTTCTCAATTTGAGCATAGTTTTTTTCTGCATTATTTAAACTCTGAGACGAAAAAGCAATTGGTTGCCCATTCTGCAATAAGCAGCAGCCTAACCCATCTTTAGATCTATCTGCCTGTATAGTTATAGGTTTACTGCTATTAAATATTCCTAACACAGGTTCATTGGAAATTAATTTTTTTTAATTCGCTAAATGGTTTAGAATGTAGCTGTAACCACTGCCATTCTACTTTGTTTTTCAAAAGTTCCCTTAATATGGCTGTTTTCTCTGAAAAATGTGGTACAAATTTCCTCAAATAATTACACGTTCCCAACACACGCTGTAATTCATGCTTATTCTGAGGTTCCTGTAACTCAGTAATGGCTTTAATTCGATCAGGATCAGGTGCATGCCTGATACATTAAATAAATACTTAACCTCACTAACCCTATATTGAAGTTTTTGCTTGTTGAATTTAATATTGAGTTTTTTAGCTCTGTTGATGACCTCTGCTAAAGTTTTATCATGTTTTTGTACAGTGCTAGCAGCAATAAGAATATCATCAAAATAGATAAATACTCCTGGTATATTCCCAAAATTTTCAAGATAGCGTTTCTGAAAAATTTCATGTGCACAGGAAATACTTATTTGAAGCCTTACGAATTCATAGCATCCAAATGGTGTGCTAAAAGTACAAAAATCACTG